GAATATTTGAAAAAAAAGAAAACGATGCTCGAAATTTCTTTTCCTCGAACTCCTCGCACAACATCGGAAAACTATATCTCTGTGCATCGAATTTTCATTGGTTAAACTCCTCGAAAACTTTCGAAATAAAACGAAGCCTCCATAACTTTCCAGTTAGAAGACTTTAGTTCCTCTCTCGAGAGGAGTTACCAAGGTTCCATTGCTATACGTGCTATTTTGCATATACGTCTTTTAATCTCGAGCCACTCGAAAGGAAGGAAAAAGGACTGGATGGAAAGTTAGATCTTAAGATCGAGCTGCGACGTTATTTCTTTGATCCTCGGTACAAAGGCTACCTGTTATTCGAGTATTCGTTGAATTACAGGATACAAACGGAGCAAATAAATATTAACGTCAGTCTTTACACTTAAAATTACGTTCTCAGATCTAATCGATTTACAATCGAATGATAGAATAAATTCGTAATAAATTGATTGAAATCTGAACGAAGCAATGATCTAAATTAGATCTAAATTAAAACGTGTAATGCTTACGTATTTATTCGGTTGGTAAAGTATCGCAAAGCATTGCAAATCTTTTAAAAATGGATATGATTCAGGGTTCGTACGTTTCGAACGTGTAATAAAAAGACACGTGTACACGTGTGCTCCGTAATCCGCGTAATTTTTAGAACACGTGCACCTGTGTATCGTTTCACGTGTACTTAATTACACGCTTATTATCGTAATTTTATTCGTGTATTTTTAGAAATACGAATACTGATTTGTGGGACGAGATTATTATTAATTTCCAGACTCCATTGATAACATTTCTTTTTTAAACAATTCTATTCACCATGATTTTCTGATAATTAATTTTTCACTTTTCTGTTAACTTCGTTAACGTGCAGATGCGAACGTGTAGCAATATTTTCAATTACAAAATCTATATAGATTTTTGATTTTCCTTTATTATTCTATTGGAAAAATTTCAAGGTAAAATTTTACCACTGTAAGGTATTAATATATTTGTCAAACTTTCATCAATAATTTTTGAATTTTTTAAATGAATTTCCACGTATAATAGTATTCAAATATTTTTCGAAATCACTCTTAATATACATCTTTATAAGATTCTAGATACGAATATAAAAATTACTAATAATAAATTGTTTAAAATATAATAAGTAAATCTCGATCCATTGTTATCGTATATCAATTTTTGTTTTCTATTTTGCAATCTATCTTCCAACGATATAATATATTTAACACGATATATTTTATAATATATTTCTCTCCCATTGACATCATCAAGAGGTTGGTCTCGTTATATTGATATTCAGAGGCTCGTGAATATCTTCTCTGACCGTAATTCATCGACTGGATGCTTCGTCACGTTACGATTTCCTTTTTCTTTTTTTTTTTTTTTATTGGCCGAGATACGTTCCGGAAATAGGGATTCCCTTTCATCGAAGAGAAAGATCAAAGACATTTCGTACGGATGAGGGAAAAATTTCGCGTTAATTCGTTGATCGAATCGCGATCTCAGATTTCTTCTCCTTCGATGAAAAATATTTAAAAAAAAAAAATTTCTTCAGGATTTATTGACCCAGTTTCTCTGCCGATTATCCACAAACTCATCTGCAATTCCTATGATCGTTAATTAACCTTGAACTTCCAAGGTAGCCAATTTAATGTACACGTTAATAGGAGGAATGTTGGAGTTTACATTTTTAAATTTTGCTTATTGATAATTATTGTTTTTTGCTTGAATATAAGGTATACATAAGTTGTTTTTAAAATGTTAATAAATTATATCTCTTAGAATTCATACGATATGCATTTAAAACAATCGATTATTTATTACTGTAAGTTTATATACATGATATTTCATAGAAGAGTATTCGAATCTTGAATACGCAAATTTGAGGCATTGCGTGATTCAATTTAATCTTGTTCAAGAACGATAAGGAAAAGAATCACGCATAGTCATTTGATTCGTTATCGAGCCACGTGATTCGTCGCGTCCTGTCCCTATGACCCACTATCCGACCTTTAATCGCGCCGACAGGATACACGTTCGATTAAAACTTTCTAGAATTATGCCTCTGTTTGGCTGCAATCTTCTGTTCTGGAAGTCCGCTTTACCTTTTCGAATCGCTCTTCTGTCGCCTCTGTTCTTTTCTTTTTTTTTTTTCACAATTTTTATTCTACATATCTCGACAACAAATTCATTATATTCAAGTTTCGTATTATAAAACGTTTTAAGCATAAACAATTTTTTTTTATTTGATCGTGAAACAACGTTAAAGAATATAAAATATTCGATATTATTTTTATTTTGTGATTAACTTATTTGTACAGAAAATATATAAAATTTATTTAGATTTTTATTGAAGAATATTTTTTATTAAATGGTTGGATGAATTATTTTAAAAGGAATAAGAGCTGAGACAAGAAATAAGAGACAAGACTTTTAACGTGAACAACGTTACGTAAATTGATGATTGTCACGAACATGTCACTTAAGAGATTAATACAATATTATACATAATATTATATTTATAATTATTTACGAAAATCGATAATCTGATATATCGATTATATTAGCACGTTCGATTGTGGTCAAAGGATAATCCTATTCTAGACATCAATAACCGCGTGACTTTTTGGCCGATGCATGCATCCAGATAATACTGGACTAAGGCAAACCTGTTAAGCCGTGCAATCTCGTTAACGAAACGAATCCGTGTAACAAACTTACGGTCGTCCAATGCATTTACACAAAAGAATGATGATGACGTTCCAATTTTTAAACTAACTTTATTCTACGGAAATTTCGAATATTTCGTTTGTGATAATTTTCAAGATATGAAATATATTTAAAAATAATAATTTCGAGGATATTTTTTGCAAATAAAATATTTATTTTATTGAAGATAATTGTCTAACTTTCACTCTCATTTGCAATATCCATTAAAATTATTCTTGAGAGCAACTTTTATGAATTTTAGAATGTATTTGAGGTTAGGTTGCTGTCGAAAGTTATTTTTATTTAACGAATATTAAATTTGAAAGTTAAAATATGATTAATCATTTATACTTACACTCTCAATGCAAATTTATGAAAAATATTTTTGAGAGCAATTCTCTACGAGAATACATTTGAGTTTTACTCTCACACTCTTTCAGATATATTCTTATCATTAATGATAATGATGTAGCTTTGCAAAAAAAAAAAAAAAACGCGACTC